TTTAATGGGATCTAATGGGATTTAATGGGATTTTTATGGTGGTTTAATGGGATCTAATGGGATTTCGTGGGATTTTATGGTGGTTTAATGGGATCTAATGGGATTTCGTGGGATTTTATGGTGGTTTAATGGGATCTAATGGGATTTCGTGGGATTTTATGGTGGTTTAATGGGATCTAATGGGATTTAATGGGATTTTATGGTGGTTTAATGGGATCTAATGGGATTTAATGGGATTTTATGGTGGTTTAATGGGATCTAATGGGATTTAATGGGATTTTCTGGTGGTTTAATGGGATCTAATGGGATTTAATGGGATTTTATGGTGGTTTAATGGGATCTAATGGGATTTAATGGGATTTTATGGTGGTTTAATGGGATCTAATGGGATTTAATGGGATTTAATGGTGGTTTAATGGGATCTAATGGGATTTCGTGGGATTTTATGGTGGTTTAATGGGATCTAATGGGATTTTATGGGATTTTATGGTGGTTTAATGGGATCTAATGGGATTTAATGGGATTTTATGGTGGTTTAATGGGATCTAATGGGATTTAATGGGATTTTTATGGTGGTTTAATGGGATCTAATGGGATTTCGTGGGATTTTATGGTGGTTTAATGGGATCTAATGGGATTTCGTGGGATTTTATGGTGGTTTAATGGGATCTAATGGGATTTCGTGGGATTTTATGGTGGTTTAATGGGATCTAATGGGATTTAATGGGATTTTATGGTGGTTTAATGGGATCTAATGGGATTTAATGGGATTTTATGGTGGTTTAATGGGATCTAATGGGATTTCGTGGGATTTTATGGTGGTTTAATGGGATCTAATGGAATTTCGTGGGATTTTATGGTGGTTTAATGGGATCTAATGGGATTTTATGGTGGTTTAATGGGATCTAATGGGATTTAATGGGATTTAATGGGATTTTATGGTGGTTTAATGGGATCTAATGGGATTTATAATGGGATTTAATGGTGGTTTAATGGGATCTAATGGGATTTAATGGGATTTTATGGTGGTTTAATGGGATCTAATGGGATCTAATGGGATTTAATGGGATTTTATTGTGGTTTAATGGGATCTAATGGGATTTAATGGGATTTTATGGTGGTTTAATGGGATCTAATGGGATTTAATGGGATTCTATGGTGGTTTAATGGGATCTAATGGGATTTAATGGGATTTTATGGTGGTTTAATGGGATCTAATGGGATTTAATGGGATTTTATGGTGGTTTAATGGGATCTAATGGGATTTAATGGGATTTTATGGTGGTTTAATGGGATCTAATGGGATTTAATGGGATTTTATGGTGGTTTAATGGGATCTAATGGGATTTAATGGGATTTTATGGTGGTTTAATGGGATCTAATGGGATTTAATGGGATTTTATGGTGGTTTAATGGGATCTAATGGGATTTAATGGGATTTTATGGTGGTTTAATGGGATCTAATGGGATTTCGTGGGATTTTATGAAAATTCTGTGTCTTACACATTGAAAAAATATCATGTCTTTGATCATACTATCTTATTCATAGCCTGTATGGAATTCAAAGCTATCTCACGTGCATTTTCAAACACAAAGATCTTGGCTTTTAATTGGAACTGCACCGTTGGCTATGTTTGAGCTAAACTAGTTTCAGCGTTATATAGAAGTTATATATATAAGCTGATTTATGAAGTTTGTTTTCAATATTCATATGTATATAATTATATATATATATGAGACTAGATTGTTGATGTTGTTGTAGATTATTGTGCTTTTGTTAGCTGTTCAATCTCATATTCATTTTACCCAGCTAATATCCCATTGATATCCGTTGTAACTTCTGGAAATCTTTTTGTTTGACGGTTCATATTCAAATGAGCCATGAAGAATGCCCCTTTAACCCATCCATTGACGTACTGGTTGTGGCAATCCCCAATAAATTAGCTAGTGTAAACCCCTATTTCATGACTAATGAACCATCAATTATCAATTACATCCCTGTATCTATGATACTTAAAACCCCATACAACCCCCTACCAAATTGATTCCTATCCCATTAAACCTCATAAAACCTCTCACACATCATAAAACCACATTCTTCAACCCGAAATCCCACCAAAATTCCATCTCCCATATCTCAACCAATCAACAATGCCATGCCCCCGGAGGCCAGCCTCCGACCCAAAGGCTTGACACAGGCGTCGGAACTCCGCCGCATTGGGCGTCAACACGGCCTGCTCATAGCCTCCAAAGCTGGCAGCTGGTGCAGTTCACCATCCAAGAGCTGTGAGTTTACGATAAAAATCGTGGTTTTATACTGATTTAACCAACAAATTTTGGTGATAGGAATTTGACCAGAAATGTGGATTCAAGGGGCATAAATAAAATGTTCATCATCGGAAACTTGGATTTTACCATCAAAATAGTGCTTTGATCCATCGAAAATTGAGATTTCACCTGCCAAAATAAGGATTTATCCATCAAAAAGTTAAATTTCACCGAGGAACAATGTCTCAGTCAGATTGAAAAGGAACAGCAAAATCAACTTAAATCAACTGAAACTGGTGATGTTCAGCGAAGAAAACAGAAAATATGATCTGGGTTAATTTTTTCATCATATTTCACTCACCTGAATTTTTAGTTCGGCCAGAATTTTTAGGGGATGATTTCCCTTACTATCCATGCCATAAAAGGGGATGATTTCCCTATAAAAAAAACCGATGATTTCCACGGGAGAACGACGTCCTCGGTCGTGATGGAGAAAAAATTATCGCCTGCTGAGATCCGAAAAAACATTCACCCCTTGGTTACCTACCCATTGGTTGGTAATGATAATAATAATCTGGTTATAATAATGGTTAATAACCAATAACCACCAAGCAGACTATTATTATCGTTCTATCCTTAGCCATATTATACTGTTGATATATGGTTGATATATATATATATATGTGTGTGGTTATTATTAATGGTTAATGATAATAATGATAATAATAATCTGCTTGGTGGTTGCTGCTAACCCCTCTGAAAAATGATGGAGTGAGTTCGTCAGTTGGGATGATTTTTCCATTCCCAACTGAATGGACAGTCATGGAAAAAAATGTTCCAAGCCACCAACCAGTCATGGACTCATCATCTATCAATTGACCATTGTCCAGTTCGCAAACTGTTAAATAACCTGAATAGTTTGGACATTTTTGGGATACCCTGAACACTCTCACCAGCACAAACCTAGTGACGTGATGTCGGTAAATGACATCTGCAGAACTTACCCATATCCTTTGACGATAATCCCCAATAATCTGGATAGTGTGACCCCAGAGAAAAAAACCAACCAGCATTTATCAATTATACCACTATAGTTGCCATGGTGAAAACAGATTGAAACTCCTATCACTGATGGGCAAATCCCATTATCTCCATAAACCATCCCCACAAATGGAAATGATCATCAACCATAAGTCAACCTCCTGTAAACTAACATAGATGTGGAAAAGCCGCCGCTTCTATCCTTGTCCTAGGGTTTCCCCATAGGTTTTCCACATCTTTTTGTATGTTCAACTCCAAATCAAGGTGTAAACCTGATGGGTGACGTTCGATGGTTTCGTAGGATACCCCGACATCCAATATGTATATATATATATCATATATTGTTTTATTAGAAAGGTGTTATTTGCGGTATACCCTTTCCAGACAAAATCTTACAGTAAATCTCATGTCAAGTTGGCTATGCACGAAAAATATCCCAACACATACTCCAATTAATATCAACATCCTCATTCAAACAAACAGCGTAGCTATTGCCTAAGTATCCTATTACATTAATAAACCCATCTAACTCTAGATATGACACTGGAGGGTATACTTGAATCCGATGACATGTCCCTTGGTGAAAAGCCCATTCGACCAGAAATCAGCATGTTCATGCTTTTCATGCTTCATTGTCCGGAACCGTTAAAGATCGATTGGATAGTGATTATCCATTTAGTATATTACCCAGCCATATAGTGAATATACCCAGCCATATATTGATTAATAGTATTGGAGAGTAGGGACTAATGGCCATTAGTAATCTAATTAATATTATTAGTAAGTGTTGGATAAAAAGATTGATCCACTAATATTAATTGGATAATGGTCATTGATAATCTAATTATCCAATAGGGATTAATAATGGATAGTTGGATAATATGAGTTATATATATATACTAATTCTTAATTAGATTACAGTGATTCATGGTCATTATTGGATTAATTAACATAGATCCATTAGTGATTTATATTATCCAGTGGTGATTAATATGTTCCAATTATCAACTAATCTATTAAATCACTAATCAATCATTGGATAGTGGATATACGGGGAATATATTACTGTGATAATCCATCTATATATAGATATATAGTACTGTTGAATATGTTCCATTAATATCCAGTAATATCTGAACATGAACCATTAATATCCATGAATATTATCCATGTTGTCCGTTATTTTCCAATCCAACAGTGATTCATACAAGGTGGTGCCCCCCCAGTTCTGAATGGGTTTTAATCCCGTTAACTATAGATGTATCACCTACAAACCATGGTTATTGGGGTTATTTGCACCAACTTAGCGATTTAGCTCACTGGGGCACCACCTTGTATACCCTTTGGTTATTTAACAGTTCGCCATGGAAAATCACCATGCTATTAATAGGTAAACCATCTATATAGTTATTTAAATAGTATTGGATAGTAGGGACTAATGGCCATGAGTAATCTAATATAATTATATTATTAGTAAATGTCGGATAAAAAGATTGATCCACTAATATTAATTGGATAATGGCCATTAGTCATCTAATGTAATTATATATACATACATATATGATCCAACTCTCCAATTCCCCAGGCCATCCCAAACCAACGGATCATCCCAAACCAACCCATCAAGCCATCTGGCACCTGCGACCACCTCTGGCTGCCTTTCCACCAGCCACAAGGCGTCAGCGTCCAGCACCAAGGGTAGCCGCCGCTCCTGGCGATGGTCATTTCATGGCCGAAAACCATGGGAAAACCATGGGAAAATGGTGATTTTGGTGATTTTTCATTGGGATAGAATCATCATTTTTGGGGGATCTATGGCGGGATATGTATACTATGAGAAATAGTTGATATGGTGACGTTGTGAACCATCAATATATCATGTATTGATAAGGTACCATCACCATGGTTTTCCCCGTATTGCTTTGAGACCAATAAACCATGGAGGTTCAACAAGACAAAATGGTGATCTGACCACCTCTATCCAAAATTCCATCGCCAAGTCACCAGATTTCTGGGTCCCATGGAAGCCATGTTTAAAAATGGTTTGCCCTCTAGAAAATGTGACCAGAAAAAACTATGGAAAGATCCACCATGCTATTAATGGGTAAATCAACTATTTCGACTGGGCCATTGTTCAATAGCTTTTTGTTTGACATAACCAGAGGGTAGGTTGATGATTGGGTGTCCCATATCATATCAATGTCTATGATCCCTAGTGAAAGCTCGTGTCACACTATGTGTCGCTGCTTTTTGAACCACCGGGTGACCCGTCCACCATCATGGGGATTGATTGACCCATGAGAATCGGGAATTTTGTCATCTTGAACCAACAGTTTGATGGTTGATGACCAACAAGCATGGTACTGGTTGGTGGTTTCAACCCCTCTCAAAAATAAAAGTCAGTTGGGCGTATTATTCCCAGCATATGGAAAAATAAAAAATGTTCCAAACCACCAACCAGTGGTATGATTGGAAAATGCCGAAGCCAGTTGGATACACTTCTTAGATGGTTGGATTGAACCCAACAAGTGAAGATGAAAATTCTTGGAGACTTACCACGAATAGCGAGCAATTCTTCCGTATGACAATAAAACCAGTTGGATCAATAGAATATGCCAAGTTTATCCAAGTTTTATGTGAATGTCGTTCTTTTTCTATGTTATAAACGACTTACAAATTCATGTTGACTATGAATCTATGGTCAGTATATTACCATCCCGGTGTCATCAAACACGGCAATGGAACATCCACCATCTACCCATTGAATTCCATGACATAACCCATTGAAAGCACCGTGAAATCACCATTGGCACCGGATGTATATCATCACTATATAGAAATATATATGCTTGTTTCATGGTTATTTCACCATACTACATACTAGTCATGCTAATAATCCATTGTATATCATCACTATCATAGTTATATAAATCCATGGTAATCATCACTATAGAAATCACCATTAAGTCACCATGTTGGTGAACTCACCCCTTATCTCGCCCACACCTTGGCCATTTCAATGACCCTGGCCGTTGCATTCAGCACACGCATGTCCTGAAAGCAAATCAAGGAAAAATGGAAAAACCAAGGTTTTTCACTCTTTAGTTCACTGGTTGGCAGTTGACTTATATACTGGTTACTATATGGTCAATACTGGTGATTAATGGTTCATACCTAATCATGGTGAGTAATGGTGACTAATTAATGGAGTTAAGTGAAACTCTGGTTGGTGGTTGACCTATATAGCCCTCTGAAGAATGATGGAGTTCGTCAGTTGGAGTTATGATTCCCAATATGATGGGACAAATAATCATAATCCAAATGTTCCAAAGCACCAACCAGAATCAATTCCCAACTATGTTGCCAGGTTACAAAATTCTTGTTTTGGATGTTCATCAAACAGATGTTGGGGTTCCAAATGGCACAGGATCTCAACCAAAAATCATGGAGATATATAAAATCATATAAATAGCCAAGGTGTGGTTTTCAACATACCCAAGTTAAATAAGTCCTTGGAGGATGAGGTTCGGGTTTCACATATTTCATCTGATTTCACCCACACTTCGGGATGCGCCACATCCAGGATCTGATTTCTTACCCAAGGTGCTCGACCGAGGCCACAACCGATCACCAGTGCATGGAAACGAGGCAGGAGGGCCTGGTCTGCCGATTAAACGAGGGTGATGACGAGGTAACCAACGATGTTGGGTTTATCAGTGACATCATTACCCAATAGATTGCTGTTCAAATCCCGGAAAACGATGTTCAAATCCCATATGGATAGAATTCGGATATAACAAACCAAAATGGAGCAGTAACACCAGCAATGATTTGGCTGGTGGTTAAAATCAAGGGTATCATTGGACGCAACAGCAACAATAATTACTATATACCTCAGCAGCCAAGAGTGGGTAAGCTGGTAGGCAAGTCATATGCCATATTCACTCACTATCACGTTGATCACCCTCTCACAAAATATGAGTCAAATGGGGATCATCAAACAGCTAGAACCCCACAGCCATACCACATTGTTCTGTGAAACAATCCAGGCCTATCCTTATCCTATTCAAAAACCCCTGTGATCCATCCCTTGTTGTCTGGAAACCATGGGAAAAATGCCGGGTTCATCCTCCCAAAAATGGGAAATATGTTTGGAGACTCCTGTATCATGGTCCATTCCATCACCACGCGCCTCCATTTTACCCACCATGCGGTTCTGCTCCTCCAAGACTACACCTGGGGGGCCCCCAAATCTGGATAACGGATAGGGTGTGTATGTATAATCTGTATCAATCCAATTCTTGACCATTTGACATTGACACATAATAACATAGTTTCTTTCAGTTATTTTATGATAGACAAATCACACCCCACATGTGGTTCACTAAATGCTTTATGAAAAAGAATAAACCCTACAAACCAACCATTCACCAGCAGCTTTCCTCAGTACCCCATTCCATCATCTCGAGGAACGGAAGTGGCAAGTAGCCCTTGAATTTGTTTCACTACGTTGTAACTACCGTAGATGAACCAATTGTTCAAACCACCAAGGGGGAACTTATAGATCATCCACCTGGGGTTTAACTCATGTTGTTTTTCTCAATAGTTTCTGTGAAAAAACGTCTCCGAGATGTGTGTTGTCCAAAAATTGGTGTATGTTTATAAATATAGATACAAATTGGTGAACTAAGTATGGTATGAACCAGTTACGATTCGCAGGATGATCTTCCAAGTAACCATGAAGATTTCTTCCCGGTCTACAGATTGTAACCCACAGTTTGTTCATGATACAAATTGGGGAAGAAAATCACCAACCAATCACAGGCTAGAAGGTTTCCTGAGTAAGTGATAAGAGTGGATCATCCTATGGTATTTACATATAGATATAATATATATATATATGTATACACCCTCCAGTAAGTTAGTTCTGTGGAAAAGTACGTCCCATTCACGGATCATTACATGTTCAAAGCGGGCAGTTTCCCTAGCGAACTGCTAAATTACCGAGGGTAATCATCATTAAATCAACATGTTTGCTGGTTTAAAATCACCTTCAATCATCATTTGGGGATGTTATATACAACCCTACATTCATATGGAGGTTTCCTAAAATAGGGGTACCCCCAAATCATCCATCTTAATAGGATTTTCCCTTATAAACCATCCATGGTACCCCCATTCAGGGGAACCTCCATATCTGTGTTCACAGAATTGGCTCAAGGGATAATTTACAGGAAAACCCACCATATGTTTGATGGTAAAAGCCATGGTTTCCTGTAGATGATCCCAACAAAACCAATCCTGGTTGGTGGTTTTTCGCCCTACCCCTCTGAAAAATGATGGAGTTCGTCAGTTGGGATGATTTTTCCATTCCCAACTGAATGGAAAGTCATGAAAAATTCCATGGTTCCAGTCACCACCAACCAGAATCCATTGATATGGGTGTGTCTGAAAATGTTGTGTACCCCTTTTTACCCAATGGTTTTGCTGATCATTATCCCGTTTTTAAATGGCTATTTCATTGGGAATATACCCAACATTTTCAGACAAACCCATATGTCCCATTCCCAAGGTCGGTTTTTGTTGCCTGGATCTTCAGTCGAGATCTTGGCCCAGCGATAGACCTAGCGGGCCCCCAAAAAACGGGGCTCCCAAAAAAACGCGAGGTCCAACAGTTGGGAGGTTCACCCATGAAAAATGGTGATGAATGGCTGTTGAATTGGAAAAACACGGAGTTTGAACCAACCAAAATTGAGATTGACTATCCAAAACCCTTGTTTAACCACGAAAAATGAGGGGATTGATAGTTATCATAGGTTTCTGTGGCTTGAAAAAAAACTATGTGAATTGGTCTTCGTTTCATGCTTCTTTTTTGTTGGATGGGGTAACATGAAGCAACAAATGACCCCTTGGATCTCCAGGAGAAAAGTGTGTACCACAACCACCAAAACTTGGGGAAAAGAAACATAGGAGTCCAAAGCATCACTAAGTACTACTTTTCAAAACCAGTTTGGCTGTTCGTACCTATCACTTCAATGTTTTTTACACTCCAGTAATCAAACATGCTTTGCTGGAAAATCCTGGTTTTTTATATGTTTTTGCTCTTTTTAATGCCCTTTTTTCGTGGATTTCCCACTGCCATGTTTGATTCTTGCAGGGTAGCCGGGTAGCCCGAGGGTGGCAACCTGGCAAAGGGCACCTCGCTAACCATCAGCTCCGGCGAGTAGCTCTTGATGGGACCTGCACCAGCAACTGATCGCAGGCCATCTTTCAAAACGCAGACCGTCACTCGATTGAAGGGAAATCCTAAAGAAAACCATGTGGTTTTCGCAGAATGAACGACATAGTTTTCAAGCGTCGCACCATGTTCTTGGTGTTGGTGGCGATGTCCATGTCAGTTTTTTTTTACATCATGGGGGTTCCATACATGAAGCTACCCCAAAATGGATGCTTTATGATGAAAACGACCCGTCAAAAGTCAAAATGGATGATTTAAGGCTCTCCCCCCATTTACAGAAACCTGATGAAACCATGATTTCCCATGTGTTCCTATGTATTTCCCTATGAAAACCCATTAGAAACCCAGTGGGAACCCTGATATTTCCCGATGGTTCACGCCTGTGGCCTCCTCTGCAGTGCAGAGATACAACAGCTCTGCCCCCACGCGTAGAGCGGCCATGCCGGCGTAGTAGGGAGCACCTACCGGGAATGGCCATGCAACAGGAACCGATTGATTGGAGGTACCTACCATATATAAGGCCGATTTTTTAGGCCTATGTTAAGGGAATATCCCCCCAAAATATGGCCTTATATGGATCAGTACCTCCATTTTAGGATCCTGGAATTCCCATTGATCTCTGGGGGTCGAGATTTTGTTGGAAAAATGATGATTGAAATGGGAAGGGGATAGAATCGGAGATAGGCAACTAAGTTTTGCAACTATGATTTATTGGATTGGGGGTATGGAGCATGAAGAAAAGGTAAATCAAGAGGTAAGATGACCATTTTTTTTACAAAAGTGGATATGATTTAGCTATCGTGGGTTGGAGAACCCCGTGATATGACAATTAACACAGTTGACTCACCATTCAAGCTCCCACTTTCCCGGATAAATTCCGATAATCCACAAAATGTCACAAATCAGAAATAAGTAATTGGATCATTCACAAGTAATTAATTGGATAATGTTACGATTTTACCTGCAAATCATTGGATAATTCACATCAGAAATGAGCTGGTCACAGCCATTTTTGGAAACCCCGATCCTCTCAGCATCTGCGGCTGCGTTGGCGGCACCTGCAAAGTCCACGGAACCTCCCAGCAGCCCGATGCGTCCTGTCAACATGGAAAAATCATGGTGAGATATCATGGGAATATATGAGATTATTTTTCGGCAACATTGGGCATTTCATGATTCAACAACAACAACAAGAAGAACAAGAAGAAGAAGAAGAAGAAGAGGTGAAATTCAACCAGCAGAAACGTGATTTCTAATCCACCTTGATGTGGGGATGCTGGGTGTTTCTGATAACACAATTCTTCGATTCTGCGGATGTGAATGGAATGACAAACTCCATCCTTTTATAGCAGAAGATGATCTCATGCTTTTTTTCAAAATATTCAAAATATTCAAAGGAATAGCTACGAAAAAGAAAAAAAAAACTACTCACTTCCGAATGGACCGTTCTTCGGAAATGGAATGGTCACTGACTGTCCTGTCCTGACTGCCCCTTGTAGCTTCGCCCATCCAGAGGGGGCGCAATGTCCTCAGTTCAAGCCACGTCACTCATCTTCTCTGAATCCAGTTCAGTGGAAACAAAACACGGATCAAAACTCATCTGGTTGGTGGTTAATATACTGTTATAAAATATATATATATATATATATTATATATATATGGTTAATATATGGTTATTATATGGTTAATATATGGTTATTATATGGTTAATGATGGTTATATGGTGGTGCAATGTGCCCATATTGAAAAATGATGGAGTGAACGTCAATGGGAAGAATGACAAGCCATATATGAAATGGAACATAAAACATGTTTGAAACCACCAACCAGATATTATTAACCATTATTAACATTATTACACAACCATGATTAACATTATTAACCATCATTAACCACCAACCAGTAATTTAACATATTTAACTGTTGGAAATTCTTGGAAGTTTCCATGACTTTGGTCGAATCCAGCCCTATGGCTATGCTTTGTACCACGAAGCATGTGCTGGTTTCTTTTGAGGGTTGTTCCTACATGTTTGGCAACGGAAAAAATTGGCATGTAATAAACAAGAATAAATAGTGATAAATCATCATGATGGAAACAAGAATATAGTAATAATTAATAATAAATAATAAATAATAAATAATAAATAATAATAATAGTAAAAATTACTCGTCAACCTGCCGATGAGGTTGTTTTCAAAGCTTCATCGGATATAGGGGTACACTCAAATTTCATGGCTTAAAAAGCTCCTGGTTCCTCTTTAAATTGCCTTTTCACTTGGGGTATACACCATGTTCATCAACTAATCAGCACATGAATTTCAAGGATCCAACAAGAAGTCTTGCAGCGTCTTGGGAGTCCAAATAACTCGGCAAATGGTCCTGGAGAGCGGACAGTCCTAGGGTTAAACTCCCTGGCCAAAACAAATTCTCGGGGAAAACCTGGCCCTAGGGAAACCCACATAGATATGGAAAATGGCCCAGTTAGTTCGAAGTTCGATGTTTCATCATAAATTGTGTTTTTCCAAAGCAAACCTTTCAATTCCCGGAGGGTGGCTGCAAAATGTCGGTGGAAAACGTTGGGAACCCCGAGATTTGACCATGCGCAGGTTCCCATGGATGCAGAAAGAATCAACACCAAGGGAAAACACGTGATACAACTTCGGATATCACCAACAAAAATGGGGATGTGGTCATGGTTGCCCACAAATATCACTACCAAGAGTCATTGGAAATCCAAACACCAGGACTCAGGAACCGAAGTGCCGAAATAAGGCCAGTGACATATGGAAGACATCGATGGTTTGTATATATAATGTTTAAAAGAACTTAGGATTCCTGCCTTCTTCACATCCAAGCATCCATGAAAATTGCCGTAACCATGTGTATACCATAGTAATCCCATATATTTAAAAAAAAAAACTATTGAACCTATATTGGTAGGGTTATTAATCTGCTTAGTAGCTGGGTAGTTCATTAATCCCCTGATCATTCCCATATGGCCCATTCGTTTGCTCCCTATTTCCATTCACAGCCATGTGTATACCTATATATATATACAGGGAGGGAGAGAGAGAGAGAGAGAGCCATGTATAATGTAATTACCATATAATTACATCCCATTATATAAACCTCCACTAAGCTCCTCTGTTACAATCATCAAACACCCATTGTTCAACCCTTCAAAAAAAATCACACAAAATCATCACAATCGTAGCCAGTCGTTCCCAGTTTTCCGTGGCCGTCCCCAGTGGCTTTCGTCGGCGCCTGCAGCTCCAAGGATCGACTGGAGCACCAGATGCGACACTTGGGGCGGAAGGACACGGGGAACCTCTCGGGACCTACGGCAGATGCGTGGGATCCATTGGGACAACGGCGACAACGGAGGGGCGGGGGCAACTTTCATGGTGATTTTCGTGGTGATTTGATCATCGGCGATGAAAAGAGTGGGACGATCCCAACATGATGCAAAACCGGTGATTTAATTGTGAAAAGGTTGTTTACATGAAAAATTGTGTTTTAACTGTTTTAACCAACCAAAAAGTAGTAATATGAATTGTTGAACAATAATCAACATTACAGTTCTGGATTTATGAACCAACACTCAAAAAATGCTGTTGGGAGAAAAATTATCCCGGCAAGAGACCCCAAACAGCGCGGAGGGAGTAAGAGGATAATGTTTTTTAACGATGATGATGATGATGATGATGATGATGGTGATGGTGGTGATGATGGGTGATCATGATCGGCCCAGAACCTAGGACCACACTTTGTGCGAGCCTGCTCAGTCAAACCGCATGTCAACATTTCACAAGAGCCACTTTTTACAGAATGTACAGGAAAAATGCCGCGCCCCAGAAGCTAGGACCACACTTTGTGCGAGCCTGCGCAGTCGAAATGCACTCCAACGTGTCACAAGAGCTACTTTATACAGAAATTTACAGGAAAAATGCTGCAGCCCAAAACCACGGTCCACACTTTGTGCGAGCCTGCCCAGTCGAAATGCACTTCAACGTGTCACAAGAGCTACTTTGTACAGAAACTTACAGTAAAAATGCTGCAGCCCAAAACCACGGTCCACACTTTGTAGCCTGCGCAGTCGAAACGCATGTCAACGTTTCACAAGAGCCACTTTTTACGGAAATGTACAGGAAAAATGCTGCAGCCCAAAACCACGGTCCACACTTTGTAGCCTGCGCAGTCGAAACGCATGTCAACGTTTCACAAGAGCCACTTTTTACGGAAATGTACAGGAAAAATGCTGCAGCCCAAAACCACGGTCCACACTTTGTGCGAGCCTGCGCAGTCGAAACGCATGTCAACGTTTCACAAGAGCCACTTTATACGGAAATTTACAGGTAAAATGCGCAAGACCAGAGTGAGCACCCTGATCAAGCACCGGCCTTTACACTTACCGTAAGAACCCCTCAGTGTGGACACACTGTTTGGGGAAAAAAGAAAGTGTCCCCAAATGAACTCGAAAAGAATCGATTTACTTCGAGGCTTACATGTCGAAAATGGTTTTGGAAGTCATACCCATTTATGTAAAGTCTTATACATATGTATGTATGTATGTATGTATGTATGTATGTATGTATGTATCTATGTATCTATGTATCTATGTATCTATGTATGTATGTATTTCTGTATGTATATATATATATATACCGTATAATATCTATATATATATGTATACACACAGATCTTTGTCAGTTTCCCGTCAATTCGGATGATACAACAAATTGCCAGCCAAAATGAACCTCCAGGAAACCACGATGCGGTTAGGGAAGCTGCACCTTGTGAACGAGGCAACATATGTGCTCGTTCAGTGCTCATGTGTGTACATATACATATATATACACACACATAGAGGTAGATAGATATAGATATGCTAGTCCAAATACATGTTCATATCTATGATTATCTATGTACATATTCATATTATATTTTACACACTGCATACCGCTCACCAAGCGCCTGCAGTGGCATCAAAGCTGAAGAGTGTTGGGAACGTCATGAAGTTGTTCCTCTCCAGACAGGCTAACAGCAGCAACATCATCCACAGCCGCTGATTCGTGGTGAAACCAAAGTGGATTGTTTAAAACGTTCACATGGGATTCTCATCTCAAGTTAGGGATTGACAAACTGTATAAAAGATCTGCTACTCTTCTTTAAACGAGAGCGGGGCGGGATGGGATGATATCGAGACATCAGCTGCAAATATTCACTAACCTGAAAAAAGACCAAGTACCCTCTGGTAATTTAACATACAGTAACTATTGAAAATTACCATTTATAGTTGATTTACCTTTGAAAAATGGTGATTTTCCAGCCATAGCTATGTTAAATTATCAGAGGCTAAATCAGAGAAATTTCCCTTGAACCTGGGAGGTTCTGGTGATTCACGAAGAAAATGACGGGTCAATTTCTGCTTCGTGGTTGCATCTTTACCTCCATGTGTCATTCACTATTATCTTACTGGTGCTTAGCAGGGAATAGATGGGAATGGGAGAATGGGATGATTATTGAATAGTGATTATGGATCATTCCCTCATTCCCTACTAAGCACCAGTAATTTATTCATTCTCATTCATGATTATTCCATAATTTATATCTACACTGTATAGATACACATCTGGTTGGTGGTTGACCTACCCCTCTGAAAAATATGAGTTCGTCAGTTGGGATGATGACATTCCCAATATGGAAAAGTAAAAGCCATGTTCCAAACCACCAACTAGACATACATATATGTAACATAGACATTATTTTATATTACAAACATCGTCATCAAAGTTCCCCAACGCACCCCGACCACGCCTTCCCACCTCCCCTCATCCGCCAGCCACGTGCCACAGTGCGAACATCGCAGCTTGCTGGGCAGCACTCGCTCCTCATTCCCGGAGTCCATATGAATTGAACCACTCAAAATGGGGATTAAAGATTATTTAAGGACTGTTGACTGTTTAATGGAAAAAATATGGAAAATCAAGGAGCTCATTAACCAACCAAAAATGGTGAAGCTTCGTGAGTTTTTCATCAAAAAACACGAAGCTTTAACCGGCCAAAAGGGGGATTCAACCACCCAAAAAATACCATTTAACCAGTAAAAGCGGGGAACTATGGTTGATTCATGATGGGATTCCATTGCTTGAAATATGTCGATTCATGACTAGCTGATTTTTCTTCGATGGAGCCATTGTCGATTTTTTTTCCATTGTTCAAACGTTGATCTTTGCATATGTTACAGTACACCCCGGAAAAAAAAATGAATTAAGATACTATCCCAACATCAATTTAAAATGATAATATAGATTCACATTTTGGCTGGTTAAACCTCGGTTTTTCTTGGGTTTTTTCCATTGATCCTTTACAAAACCCACTACCATCCGCATCCACAGCAATCATCCTGGAGACCCCACAGAAATTACCCTCTGGTTATGTCAACAGTTTGATGGGATATTGATGGGATATTTATGGTATATTTATGGGATTACCCTCTGGTAAATGTCAAGTCATTGGGGATTTAATGGAACTTAATAGTGGTGAATGATGGTTAATTCTGATTTATTGGTGATGAAAATGATGATTAATGGGATATACCCAACCTGGTTATGTCAACAGTTTTACCCAACTATAAAATGGTGGATCTTTCCATCGTTTTTTGTATGTTTACCAGAGGGTAAGGTTAACACCACTTACCACAAGAAAAAAAATAATTTTACCATCACGAATGAGGGTTTACATATGGCCCAATATTGGGAAGGAACTAGCAAGAAATTGGAATCCAACCAGCAAAAATGGGATGTTTTTTCCATCAAACAAGAGATGTTCTAGCATCAAACATTCGGATACGAAACATTCCATCACTAGCCAAAAATGCGCCCTTCACATCCCATTCACTAGTTGATTAGCTTACCCTCCAGTAATCAAACATGATGCTGGAAATTCCATCATTTACAGACTTATAGATGACCCCTCGAAACCTGCAAACAAATACTTCGGGAACTTTCCGGCTGGCCACATTTGATGACCAGAGGGTACAAAGTGGGGCCCCCAAACGTTATAAGTTGGTTGATAATCCAATCTAACTAGTTCGTTATAACTACCATAAACCCAAACGTGAAATTCTAGTTATGTATAGTTATGTTCACCAACTTAGCTAATCTTAGCTATCTAGATCCTAGGGGCCCAACAAAATTGGTCGTCTACAGCACCCAGCTTCGCCAAGCTTCCTCCCCGTTGCGACACTTCACGTCATTCTTGGGGTCGTACCAGCGCAGCAAGTCGAAGCCTTCAGGATCGAAGCACACCTGGACCGTGGCTGGGAAATCTCGAGGATTTCACGGATTTCACCCACAAAAATCGTGGGAAATATGGGGAAAAAACAAATATCGGGAATCCGTTCTTTGGGACTGGAACTATTGGGGATGTACTTTATTGATGTCGGCATTTTTTTGGATCAGAGTTTACTACGTGCATAGCGGAGTCTATCCGGGTTTTGGGGAAGTTTGATCGCGGAGATCACCATAGCTATAGCTGTTTATTGGGTGAATTATCTATAGGTATAGTATAGCTATCAAACCTACAAATCACCAGGTTCAATGGGTGAATCATCTATGAATGGCCGCATTGAGATGTCTGTCTGTGTGTGTGTCAACTCCACAACGCTCGCTCAGCTGTATCGGCCTTGGCCGGACTATCCCAGAATCTTTAGGATAACCACCATAGAAATCCAGCATTTCAAACACCAAGTGTGTCTACATTCAGGAATATCAAATATCCAGAAACCCCAAAGTTGTGGGTCACAATTTCTCCCCAAAATTGGGAATGGCATCTTTCCCAAGAAACGAACCACTCCCAAGAAATGAACCATACAAGCTGCCATAAAATTTCCAAAATGTTCTAAAAAATGAACCGTTTATCCACTTTCTCACTGGATTGGCTTTCACGGGAAAATCTGAACCGGAAACCCATAGGTTTTTACCATCAAATTTGATCGGGCTTTCCGCTTAAAATTTTCCCATCATCCAATTCATAATTATTGATATGTTATCATAAGATATCATAAACCATTGATAAAATATCATTGAAAACCAGGTGCCTCCAAATATCAAATCCATAAACTATAACCATTATGACCATAGAAACAGATGGTTAATGATGGTTAATGATGGTTAATGATGGTTAATTCTATTCATGAAACCATCATTAACCATCAGCCCTGGCACCTGATCCTTTTGAAACAGCGCCGCCCATTGCACCGGCGCGCCATGCAGCCGCTGACAGACGCTGCAATCGCAGAGCCTGGAAAAAAACTGGGAAATCCTGCGATTTTCCCTATGAAAAATGGTGATTCAATGGGTTTTCAATGGAAAATCCCCGAAGAAAATGGAGGTCTTAGAATGTTTCAAATGGGAAAACGATGGAAAAATCATGGAACTAAATGGCTTGTAAAATAGAGGCTCTAATATCTCTAATGGGAAAGTCAGGGAACTATGTGGCCTAGAAAATGCTGGTTTATAGCTGGGAAAACAGTGTGAAATCCCCACAAAAATAATTATGAATGGAGTTTATACCTGGGAAAATAATCGAACTAAATAAGGAAAAACTCCACAGGAGGGTAGTCATTTTAGTTGTAGTACCTTTGCGTTGTTTCCTTTTTTAAGTTGACTATTTTTTTTGCCCGTTTTTCTTCTTGCTTCCATCCCCCACTTCAAGAACCCCCCCAAACATATAGATAGATATAAGAAATTAATTTGGATTGACAAATCTTTTTTATGTAAATCTCAATGTTTAGGCATGTTTAGGTGTTATATATATATATATACAGTAAGTCATGCGACTCCTTCTAGGAAACCACCCATCAACCGGGACTCCTCGATTTCTACCCCCCCTTTTGCCCGCCACATCTCTGGTCCCAGGCAGCTTCGCGGTCATTGGCTCAGCACTCACTTGGAAAGACACACGCTTGCAGTAGCATTGCGCTTGATACCTGGGGTAGCCACATGGCAAGGCCACGAAGACAGCAAAACAACGAAAAACATAGGGTGGGCTTTGCCTAGGTCGAGCCGTTTAGCCAGTTTAACTGTTTTCATAATTTTCATACAACCAAACAGTGAAAAGAATGGATGTTACATGATTGAATCAACCCAGCATGGGATCCACCAAAGAATGAAACTCTGATCCATGGCAAACCTCCATGGAACCCACAAAAACATGGGATGCAAATCGTGTATGTATGAAAACCTGTGTTCCTCCATTTATCTGGCTAAAAAGTAAGCCATCAACCTATCAAATTTATCGGCTGTGAGATATCCAGCAATAGTGCGGGATATTGGTGGAAGTTCAAGTAACAAAACGGGAAAATGCGGAGAGTTTTTTTCCCAGAAACCATGGTTTTGTCAGGGGATTTGTACATATTTGGAACCATTTATGGGGTGTTCAATATTAGGGGGATGGGATTCTATCCAAAAGAAAATTGGAAGATCACCAACAGACAATGGTCATGAAGAAGCCTGTGGGTCTACGGCCCGTGTAGACTTTGATGCGAACTTCGGAGAACTTCGGATCCTCTGTCAGTTGTTTAGCTGTTAAACTAACTTTCACCAAAAAAAAAATGGGATACATCTGGGCAATAAATCACACGCCTGAAAGACTTGTCGTGTTTTGGATGATTCTTCCCTACCCATCATTCAAGGCGTTTGGTCGGCCAGCGAGGTCACGATAAGTTGCACACATATCTTGGGAAAATCATCAAGCTTTAGAACCTGGGGATCATCCAAAAAATCGAACAGGTGCATCCGTCTTGTTCTTTTTCTGTTCATCGTTCATCATCTTTTCTATTTCGATCTATCCATGTATTCATCCATCATTCGATAAAGGTTGCTGGGGACACCACCAAGTTGCTTCGCTCTGAAGTCTTTTCCTGGGATCTTCTGGCAGCTAGGCTTGGTTGCGGGGTCAACAGCAAAATGCGGATTTGATGATCGAAAAAATTGGGATTTAACCAGAAAACATGCAGATATTAACACCAAAAATTGGGTCTTCACCGTCAAAATTGGGTCAATGGAGACTTACCAGAACTAACAGCTCGATCCTGCGAATCGCTCAGGTTCTATTTTGGTGGAAACATGGTGAAATCACGAGCCAAACATGGGGACAACACCCAGCACTTGAAATGGATCTGGTGACCAGGAATTCAACGTAGCAAGCTGGAAATTTATCCATTTGTTCATGATCCCAATATGTTACCATTAAAAGTTATAGGTCAACAAAGAAAGGTGTGGCTGCCCTATCATGAAGCGCGAGAGACCTCGTGGCGTAATGGTTGAATCCATGTTCCAGTTGCTTGGCCCATGTGTTCCGTTGAATGGTCCAAACAAACAACAAACCCACCATTTCCGTTGCAATTGTTCCATGGCGCCCAAAACGCCAAGGCCAAGGTTCCATCTGTCCCATACGGCGGCAGCCTCTTCCACTCCAACGCGGCGCCCGCATCGGCGCTAGCGGCCATCGCCCAAAGAGAGGCACCGCTGACGGGTTGAATGTGGGAAACCCTGCCATTTCTTTCAACGACCATTCGGGGGTGGTTTATACCACCCACAAAAAAGGGTGATTTGGAAAATCTTGGAACCACCAAACAGTCATGGGAGGATGGATCAAAACCGCCCCTTTTGTTCACATCAAGTTATAGCTGCTGGGATTGATGGATGTTTATCACAGAAAAATTGTATTTATGGATATCTCTGTATATATATATGTATATATATACTGCCAGGTGTATAGGTATTGATCCATAGTCGTGTTGAAATTCCTGGGATGCCAAAACTGCCTATATCCAGGACAGCCGAAATCAGCTGCTATGACGGACTGGGACGAAATCGACCATGAATATCTTAGCCACAAATCTGGTTGTTTAACCAGCAAACATGATAAGAGCTAGCCGTGAATGCAAGGTATGTAAAGCCCTATGTTCCAAAGAATATCAAATCAGGTATGGTTTATAAAACTGGGTTTGCTACAATGTTTTTTTTTCAACGAAATGGAAATTCGATGATTCAATGACGACCAAACGACTCCCAGGGTCTTCGATTTGGCTTCCGATGAATTGGTGCAATTCTCGAAGAACCAACCCTGGCTGAAAGTGGCTGATGTTTTTCTATGTCGAGGTGACAGACCCACGACATCATAGATTGATGGTGTGTTCTTGATTTAGACCCATATATATATATATTACATATTTATATATATATATATTACATATTTATATATATACATATATATATATTCGTATATGTCAATGTATGATACATGTAGATGAGAATGTCAACCCAGATATGGAGACCCAGACCGATTCAAACAACTGAGGCTAGTCATTAAAAGTCATTGATGCCAAGGGAGCCAATTCATCCCGTGTTGGCATCAAATTCTAATGATTATCCAGTATCCATGTTCATGAAAAATGTCCGCCATGAGAATCATTCAAACCCAGCCATGAATTTTCTACCAAGATACGCTCTCGATGTCTTTTCCTGCAGACAAAACCCCTGGAAAGTCAGCAAAAGGAAAAAAAAAAAAAGCAGAACTATCTATGGAATGATTTAGGGCAACATCTACAGGAAACCATAGGTTTTACCCTTAAATATAAGGAGTTCCTATCACATTTCCCTCCAATTCTGGGAACAGGTACCCCTACCATCGCATCACGATGGGAATCAAAAGGGGCATTTTTGTCGTAGATATCATGTTTGGCTGAAGATGTAGGATGCCTATGCAAACAGCTACAGTGCAAATCGCGAAATCGCCCATTTTTATCATGGGGGGTTTCCAGCTATTTTTCATGGGTTGAATCCAGAGTCCTGCTGGTTATATAAAACTCCATATAATTTTCCGAATTTTAACCCTTCAGCAGTAGTTTAACCATCGAGAAAAACATCTCAACAACACCCAAGAAAAGATCATTGAAAGCCATGAAAATCTCCATGTCCTCGAAGGCTGGGAAGGGTGAGCAGGAGCCACCTCGGATACGGTGATCCATAGCCAGATAGAATAAATGGGAATGGTGTTTTTTCCGGGAGTGGAATATGACAATATGTGCCTACTTCAGGATGATGTATATAGATATATAATACATATATTCACACTTTTATTCCAAAATCTCTGTCTACATGCGTGGTTTTATTCCGCTAGGTATAAATACGGCCAGGACGGGGGTGCCCGGAGAAGTGCGTTTCGGGATGCCGGCGGAATGGTTGAATGGCTGAGGAGATTTGTTTCCAAATCCTATGCCCTAAAACCTAAATCTGACATAAAACCCAAAGTATATAAGCCTTGACAGTAGAATCTCATTAAAACTGTGGGGAAAAAAAAACTAAAAACCCTAAACGAAACCCTAAACACTAAACAAACCCGAAACAAACCCCAAACAAACCCTAGAGAGTTGGTGACATGACAAACTTCCGGGCGGCACCCCCCGCCTGGGGGTATAAATACCTACGAACATACAGATAAAAACACCTTGGGGGTAAGAACGCAGAACACGGAACCCTACGCAACAATTGCTCCACCATAGCTGCTCATAGCCCAATATTCTTCGGCCATTTTGGCTACGGACATATGGTTTCTCAAGGCGCAGCTTCTTTGAAACCCTTAGACAAAGGAAAACATATTACTGAGAATTCTTGAAAATCAATCTAAATAAAATCTGAAAAGATCCATAAATATCATGTATATATATATACATAAATCAGAAATCAGACAGGATCTTTCAAAGAGCAAAAAAAACTGAATCCAATCACCATTCACCAAACTTTATCGAGGCATCTTGTACTTGGCCTGGGAATCACGGGAAATCCCAAGTCTCGGTGGTTGATGAAGTTGATGATCCCAATTAGTGTTGAAAGCCACCAACTACAGTAGGTCTTTGTTGGTGATACCCTCTGATAATCAAACATGGAATTGAAATCCTCTATAAATGATGTTTGAATGGGAAAAAACGTCTATATATAAATGGTGGATTTTCCGTTGCCATGTTTGATTACTGGAGTATCCGTTTGTCATGCGTTGTATTCCTCTTTTGGTGACAAATCCTCACTTGTAGAATTGAGATTGTCATCAAGTCGCTGCTGGCTTCCATCAACTACACCCCGCGTTTCCCCAGAGAAGCGGATTGCTTCTCCACTTCACAGCTGGATGATTTTTCTATAACCTTCGGTAATTTCACATTTTTCGATGGTATAGCCCGTTATGGATGATTTAAATTATATTACTATGGCATATATAACCATAACTGGTGATTTTAACCATGTAATCCTAAATAAAGAGCTGGTGATTTTCCATGCCATCTTAAATTACCAGAGGCGAACCAACCATCGTTGACATCCGTGGATTGGGATGAATCACCGCTGTGATACCCCACAGGCGCAGGGGACAGCACATGACCACCTGCAACGAGGGCGTTCTAGGTGAACCATACCTGTCGAATTCCGCTTAAACTTATGTTATAACAATGTATTTATATGTATTTATATGTATTTATATGTATTTATATGTATTTATATGTATTTATATGTATTTATATGTATTTATATGTATTTATATGTATTTATATGTATTTATATGTATTTATATGTATTTATATGTATTTATATGTATATTATATGTATTTATATGTATTTATATGTATTTATATGTATTTATATGTATTTATATGTATTTATATGTATTTATATGTATTTATATGTATTTATTTATATGTATTTATATGTATTTATATGTATTTATATGTATTTATATGTATTTATATGTATTTATATGTATTTATATGTATTTATATGTATTTATATGTATTTATATGTATTTATATGTATTTATATGTATTTATATGTATTTATATGTATTTATATGTATTTATATGTATTTATATGTATTTATGTATTTATATGTATTTATATGTATTTATATGTATTTATATGTATTTATATGTATTTATATGTATTTATATGTATTTATATGTATTTATATGTATTTATATGTATTTATATGTATTTATATGTATTTATATGTATTTATATGTATTTATATGTATTCATATGTATTCATATGTATTCATATGTATTCATATGTATTCATATGTATTCATATGTATTTATATGTATTTATATGTATTTATATGTATTTATATGTATTTATATGTATTTATATGTATTCATATGTATTCATATGTATTTATATGTATTTATATGTATTTATATGTATTTATATGTATTTATATGTATTTATATGTATTTATATGTATTTATATGTATTCATATGTATTCATATGTATTTATATGTATTTATATGTATTTATATGTATTTATATGTATTTATATGTATTTATATGTATTTATATGTATGTATATGTATTTATATGTATTTATATGTATTTATATGTATTTATATGTATTTATATGTATTTATATGTATTTATATGTATTTATATGTATTTATATGTATTTATATGTATTTATATGAATTTATATGTATTTATATGTATTTATATGAAATTTAATTATTGGATTTATTAGTTACTAACTACACCGCAGGGTCCATGGATCCCCATTTACCCCACCGATGCTGACCGGCGAGGCGAGTTTATCCTCGAAGAAGTCCATTACCATATGGATCCATATGGAAAATGTATGAAAATCTTCATCTAACTTAAAGTAGTATGATGATTTTTATCTAACATCATCATCTTTGGCAATGTTTTTTTGGTTTCTTGCTTAAAGTAGTACTTTCGATGGTTGAATTACAACTGCTGCGACTGAAACACCCATTGTTTAATTTCCATGGCTTGGCCCCGCATTTAAGTGTGCTGAAACCAGTTTCTGTGTGTGGCTTAAAACCGCCGAAAAGTTCAAGTTCCAAAGCGATATTTTTTTTTTTCAGAACCCAAAGTTACCCTCCGGTAATTTAACATAGATGTGGAATTTCTGTCCCAGAAATAGTTTGATTCACAAAACCAAAAAAAACATGTTACCTAAACCATAGCTGGCTGCTAAATTACCAGGCCACCAAATATATATCATTTTGTAAAAATTGTGTATGTTACCAGCCCAAAATCAGGATTGATTCGTTAGATATCGGGTGAAAAGCAATGAGTAGTGGAACATTGAAATTTGTTTCCCTAAAATTTGAGAAGAACCATCGAAATCGGGACCTCAAACCACCAAAAGTACAGCCAAAAGTTTCTCAAAGGCCGTCTTCGGCCGGGATGGCATGGCATCGTCTAAAAATGTGGTACACCCAATTTCATAAACCATCCCCAAGTCACCATTTGTTGGGTGCTATGTTTTCCATCCCCATTCATGGTAGGTTTATGGCAGCCAGAGGTTCCCACATTATAGTGATCTAACCATAGAAAAATTAGTAATTTGTGGTTTTACCATATAGTAATTGGTGGTTGGACCAACTAAATAATGGTAATACTTATGGCAGCCAGGGTTTCCCACATCAATCATAATATTGAGTTACGGGTTGACCAAATAGTAGGATCTTCCCATTATTTTCCCCGTGATATCCCTATCAAATCCCTATAATCGATAATGCCAATACATTTATAGTGATTCTAGTAGCCAATAGATAATAATCGTTCGATTTTTTGGTACATATCTGTGAATATTTATTATAATATGATCAAATTATCAGCTTTATAACCATATTGTAACCATATTATGACCATATTATAACCATACTAAAACCATATTATAACCATATTACATATGTAATTGCTGGTGGTGGTTATAATATGTTTATTGATTGTATAATATATCATAACCATATGGTTATTATAACCGCCATCTTAATAAATGTCCAACACTTTTTTCAACAGCTATTATAATCACCATCAATAATATGTTATCACCATATTATATATTCCCTCTGGTTATTTAACGTAGCGAACTGGAGAATCACCATTTTTAATAGGTATATCATCAAAAAACATTCACAAATGGGCCATGTTCCATGGCTATGTTAAATAACCATATTATAACCATATAGAAAAACCACCATCAATAACATCTTATAACCATATTTTCCTTATATGTTTATTTATATGTGTGTATATATGTATATCTAGTTGGTGGTTTTAACCATCTTGAAAAATATTAGTCAATGGGATAGATTATCCCATATACTATGGAAAATAAAATTCATGTTCCAAACCACCAACCAGTATATATTGTCATTCCAATGATTAACCATTATTAACCATAGATTAACCATAGATTATTCCAGGGCTTTAAATACCATATATCAATGGTTCTCCAAGCACTTTCCACGCCTGGCGCGCGCCAAGGGGGATAGGCCATGGGTGCTGGACCCGGTGGACCCGCTGGACCCGCTGGGCCCGGAGCCGGCGCCCGGGACAACCTGGGGATATGGAATGACGATGATTGGAGATATCTAAGAGGATATATTATATTTGTTTATTATTATTAGCATTAATATTCATTTTTATTGTTGTTGTTATCATTATTATCATTATTATTATTATCATTATTATTATTATTATTTATATATATATACATACATACATAATATGGATGTGTATATATATAATATTATATATAACTTGAAAGAAAACATGTGTATATATATATATATTGTGATGTATAACAATGAGATACATGTAGCATGAAATGTTGTACGTAGAACCAATAAACAATCTGATAAGAGGTGGATTTAACCCATGAAACTGCGGGTAAATGGAGGTGGTAAAATGGTTTGTGTTGTTAAGGTCAACGGCATGGGTTTTCCCAACATTTTTCACGCAAACCGAGCTGGTGGTTAAACCCAGGAAATGGGTGCTTTAGCGTGGCTGATGTCCAAAACAACCAAAAAGAAACAAAAAATAGCGTTTGAAGCCACAAGGATTGTGATTGCACTCCAACAATGTCTCATTCCGCGTAGATGGCAAAAAAAAAACCTAACACATGAAGATAAGTGGCCGAGGATACTCCATTGCCAGAAACGATTATCAGTGATTGGAATGAGGCCCAAGCTTTAGGGTAAATCGCCGGCAAAAGATCATCTTTTGCTGGTCAATTTTCCCAGAATGCAATGGGTAAAAATCATGGGTTTCTGCTACATCAATGGCCTTTTCACTGGATTTTTTTAAAAACACCACGGCCAGGTGAAAAGGTCAGAGCAAAAATGGCTCAGGTCAGGTCATTGAGTTTTTTCCATGTCCTTGCTGAGCCTGGAATCCTATGTGAGCCTCGATGTCCATGTTGTGAAAATGTTGGGTTCATATTTCCAGCTGTAGCTGAAAATCTTGGCAATTCTGAAATGGTTTTCACCTGTCATCACCATCAGTTCCCCGTCATTTTAGGATTATATCCCCGTGTTTTCAAAGTCACCATCCCATCCTTTAACCATCTTTTTTGCCTACGTATACTATAGTTATATCCCCATGTTTCATGTGTCAATCCTCATTGTCTTTGTTAAAATGCCATGTTTTGCTGCTTGAAGCACAGTTTCTTGCTGAAAACCCCAAGCAATGGTTGCTAAATTCACATTGAAACCACCATTTGAGTTGCTAAAACCAGCATTTTTCGCTACCAAAATCCTATATGTTTGCTGGTTCCACATTTAAACATGTTTTATCATCAACCTCAGCCACAAGGGGTTTCTCCGGGCCCAGACTGTGGATGCGGCCTGGTGCGAGAATAGCATGTGGGAGGTTCCATAGTCATGGTGGTACCCAAAAAAATGGGTGGTTTACAATGGAAAATCCTATGAATTATATAACCTGGAATGAAAACTAGGGCTACCCCCATTTTACGAAACCTCCATTTCTAATTTTAGAAAAACAATAAGTTGGGATCCTGGCACCAAAAAATGCTTGGATTTCACCGATCATATGTGGTAGTTTTTGACATGCAAAAATGAAAATTGAATTAGCTTCTGGTAATGTCAATATAGCTATTGAAAATGGTGATTTATAGTGGATTTACCCATTGAAAATGATGATTTTCCATTGAAAATGGGTGGATTTTCCATAGTTATGTAAACGTTTACCAGAGGGTAAGCCATCCAAAATGGGGACTTAGCAAAAATGGATGCCAAATTGAGGCGATATAAGACCCAACAAGATGATTTGCTGATGGTTTGGCTCACAGCGGCTCGGGGATATCCTCGTCATTATGGTCGTCGTCATCATCGGGACAACATCATCATCATCATCAACAGCAACATCATCACCACGTCCACATGATGATGTCTGGGTGTGTTGGAAAATGCGGGATACCGAATATGATGATTCAGCAGTGGATTCGGTGGCATATCCCATTTGTTGGACTCATAGCATATCCATCATTCATTGTTTAACCCACCTTTTTTGACTGCCACCATAGTCATCCAAGACAACACGTGCCAGTAGCACGCTGGGTGCGGATAGGCCGGCCTCAGCTGAGTCGTCTATGCTGTCTATGTCTATGTCCACCTCGAATTGGAGTTAAAATCGCGGCCATTTTGGGTGGTAACTTGATGATTCCTTCACAGGGTCGGAATGTTTGAGCAATGATTTTCAAACATCCTAAACCAAAGCATAGCAAGACACAAGCCTTTAATCGTACTTCAGGTAAACCCAATGTCATAAACCATCCCCAAGTCATCACCATAAAATGGTTGCACAAAGCATCCCCGAACAGGTCCTTGTGAGGCCCCTGAAATGTCACAACACAATAAACCCTGTCACTCTAACCTGTTTCCTGTGAGTGTCTCCTGGTTGGTGGATTTATACTGGTTCCCGTATTGGATTTGAGTTCATTCAAGTATTATAAGTACCCTCTGGGAATCAAACATGGCCTGGACAATCCCCCATTGATGATCTTCCTATGAAACCTCCATTGAGTTCGGGGAGTTCCCGGATTTTTCCCAAGTTTGAGTCCCGGAGGGTCATCCTGCTTCAAAAATATCCATGTCGTGTTGCTTCAAGTCTCCGTTCACCATCATTTCTGGGTGTATACCCCTGATTCTTGCAGCTAAAAATCGTTCCCATTCTGCATCATCTTCACTTTCTGAAACACCATCTGAAACACCATTCACTACCTATCATGTCAAGATTCTATCTCCATTTTGTCACCATTTTTAAAGTCACTATCCGATTCTCTCACCCGTCGTTCTTGGTTGCATTCATCATGTCCCAATTGTTCATGGCTTTGACCTCCTTTTTGTCTCCCAATTCTTGGTCAAACCCCAATGTTTTGCTCCATGGCTTCAACCGACATTTGCTAAATCCACAGGTCAAAGTCCTAATTTCTGCTCGTGAAATCCACCGTTTTTGCCGCGCCCAGGCTGCCCCGGCGGCATCACGTAGTGCGGCTGTGGCCGGAAGACCGGCGCCAGTTGAGCTGGAGCAGGTGGCCGTAGATACCTGATGACATGGGCAGGGGGAAGATGACATGACAAAAATTGGAAGTGAACATTGAAACTATGGGATTTTATGGTGATTTCATGGGATTTTATGGTGATTTCATGGGATTTATATGATGGTGATTGAATGGTGATTTCATGGGGTTTAGCTTCACCAACAAATCATGGTTGAAATATGGATTTTTGACTACTAAGAATGAGGACTTCACCAGTAGGAATAGGGATTTTTCACAGGATTTAGCCACTGAAAATGGGGATTCTAATCTAACCCACTCAGAATTTTTCGGACTTCTTTCCACCGATGATCGGGGATTGTGCCACCAAAATTGGGATTTACCCTTTGGTTATTTAACATAGCCATGGAAAATGGCCCATTTATAGATGGTTTACCTATTAAAAATGGTGATTTTCCATGGCTATGTTAAATAACCAGAGGGCAACTGTTTAACCATCAAACACATTGATTTTCGCGGCAAGGGTGGTGAGATTTCACCAAACAAATGTTGGATTGTTGCTGAAAAAAAAATGTTTTTACAGCTCAAAGATAGGGCTGAAACCAGTAAAAAATTGTGATTTCACGAGAAAAAAATCATCACGAGAACTTACCAGCAAGACATTGGAGATGCAGCCAGCAGGATGCGGATGAAAGATGATGAAACTTAGGATGAAGTCCTTTGCGCTTTTGCAAAAAAGGCTGGGGCAAAGCCACAAATTCAAGGGAGATACGTGGAGATACTATTAATTTAATCTGTACATCTACACATTCCTGTTGTACTAAGTGTTACATATGCCCTGCTATACAAAAAGCTTATCATAGGTATATTATATTATATATACTATAACTAATTATATATCTATATATATATGTATATATTGAGGTTTCCTAAAATGGGGGTACCCCTAAATCATTTATGTTAATAGGATTTTCCAGTATAAACCATCCCTAGTTCTCATATGCTCCAGGCATCCGAAAACCAGAACCCTGGCACATTGGTGGCCGATAACCAGGATATTGCCGGGGATCGTAGCTCCTTGGATCGCCCCATCATGGCTTTGAGCAGCACTGTGCTTGAAACGGCGTCTCAACGGCGTCTAAGAATATGGTACCCCAAAAATTCATGATGTCTCAAAAAATCACGCGGACAAAATACCAGCTGTTGGGGTGTCTACCCGATCCCAAACCAGCTCAGTGGCTTCCCGTTCGAATCTGCATGGCGGGAAGTTCTTGGAGGTCCAGGTGCCTTTTATGACATTGGGGGATGGTCTAGGGGGATGATTTATGACATTGGGTTTACCACACCAATGGATTTGGATGGGATATGAATTAAATTGGATGGTTTATGACTATGGACCAGAGGGTATATCCCATTCAATACCAATCAATCTCCCACTGTAAATCTCCCATTAAATCCCATGAATATCCAATTTAATTCATATCCCATCAAATTCCATTAGTGTGGTAAACCCAATGTCATAAACCATCACCTAAAACCAGCATTTTTATGGGTGCTATGCTTACCATCCCCATTCATGGCAGGTTTGTGGCCAGGGTTTCCCACACTAATATCCCATGCTTAATATCCCCCATTGAGATGGGATCCATTATATATACCTATATATGTATGTATGTATGTATGTATGTATGTATGTATGTATGTATGTATGTATGTATGTATGTATGTATGTATGTATGTATGTATGTATGTATGTATGTTGTATGTATGTTGTATGTATGTATGTATGTATTTGTATGTATTTGTATGTATTTGTATGTATGTTGTATGTATGTATGTATGTATGTATGTATGTATGTATGTATGTATGTATGTATGTATGTATGTATTTATGTATGTATGTATGTAATGTATGTATGTATGTATGTATGTATGTATGTATGTATGTATGTATGTATGTATGTATGTATGTATGTATGTATGTATGATTGTATGTATGTATAATATCCAATGTATGTCAATATGTATGTATGTATGTATGTATGTATGTATGTATGTATGTATGTATGTATGTATGTATGTATGTATGTATGTATGTATGTATATTAATATCCCTTTGTCATAAACCATCCAATTATTAGTGTCCCATAAAATGGATATCCATAATATGAATTATTTATGACTACTTCGCTTTGCTACCCACCTTGGTTTTGGAAAAAGATCGAGGCCCAGTGGCCACGGCACGGGATAGCCCGGCGGACCTCACGGCAGGTCAAGGGGCCACCAAGGGGCACCTGGAACCCCTTGAAAAGGGACATGGAGAAGTGGGTTTTTTCTACATATCTGTATATAAAATCTATAGTCATCCTGGAGTAGAATATGGACATGTCAAAGATCTTCAGTAAAATGAGATGAATGTTGAAAATTGCCCATGTTCCATCTACTTCATTATCATATATATATACATATATATATATGTGGAAAAGAACAAAAGAGGTACGTAACCAATATGTCAATGGATGCGCTAACCCCTTTCGTCATCCCAGTAAGGATTCCCAGCAGCTGATAGCATGGCTATGAATCAAAATCTTGGTGTGAACTTTCTCAACATCGAGATTGCTGAATGGATTGCTGAATGTTCATCCCCCCATTTCTCGAATGACAAGGTTCGAAAATGGTGGTTGGTTTCCCTGCGAATTTTGGAAAGGCGATGACTTGGGACTTGCCCAAGTTGGGAATGGTCCAGCTATTCCTTGTTTCTGATTAGTACTTATCTCAATGATTGGTTGTCGATATCCCCTGCTTGGACTTGTGATATTCATAGCTGGAACCATACATAATATATATATATATATATACACATATATATATATACATATATATATATACATATAATATAATATAATATATATATATATACATATGACATGTTGAGTGACTCTATCATCTTATATCACCAGCTGTTCTTCTGTTCTTGCTTAGAATCCTGTGGGTTACATCATCTTACATCCCAGATGATGGTTGTCAGCTCCATCCAACTGGGGTACCAGAAGGTAGTACTTGGGTTGATAGTTCTCCCATGTTATCCCCATAGTAACTATACCAATCCCATGAACTCTCCCATGTTTTGGGTGAAAGCATCATGTTTTTTGCTGGTTGAATCCCAAAAAATTGCTGGGTTAACTTCCTATGTTTCTTGATTCAATCTCCCATTCTTGGTGAAACCATCTTTCTTGGGGTTTCACCCCAGTAAAAATGCGCATTTTTTGGGTTGACCCCTTTTTCACATCTCCATTTCTGGTGAAAAAAACCCATGGGAATCACCGAGCTTCAGGCGTACTGCCGCGACGGGCCTTACGTAAAGTTCGGAAAAGGGCGTCGATCGTGGGATTAATGACATAGATATATAATTAGATATGATTATATATGATTATTATATATTTATATGCAGAGAAAAATAGTGATATATAATATTATTATTAATTATACATATATTCATATATATGTAGGGCCGGGCTGGTTGCCGGCAAACAAAAACTGTATATTACTTTAGGACCCAAGACATAGCCGCATGACCAACGGAAGCATTTTTTCATCTTCCAAATATCGGTTGGATTTCAGAGAGGGCATCAACGATCACTAATCAAGTCCTCTTTCTCGAGCGGGCGACTGAAGGAACGCACCACAAGCCCGGGTCTGGGGTCCATCTCCTCCACGTATATGCTTTATGGTCATCCAGTTCATCTCGTACTGTAAAACCAAACATAATGGGTATAAAAACCCTCTTAACGGATTGATGATTCCCATCCCCCAAGATGGGGTATACAATCCAGCTAACCATTGCGCATATGTACATTACCCTTCTAGTGACACTGACTGAGGCAACTTGCCAACTCTTTGTAGGAAATAATTGAAATAATCTTCAAAGGTTATGGATGAAAATTTCTGACCCCTATTTTTGGAGGTTTAGTCCTAAACATAAAGACAATGTTACCAAGTTTTTGTCGTCCACTGTTTCCCTGTTTTCAGGTACCGAACCGAAACGAATACGTCGGTTGTTTGCCGAATTTTCATGCCGAAGATGATTATCAACAAGAAGATTTCGATGGATATGTTCAATTTCATATGATATTGGAGATAAGCAAAAATGATTGGACTATAATAATCATAGTAATCATAGTTGGATATATCAACAATTTATGAATTTTATCATTGATCACATTGGAGATCAACCATGTGAATGATCTTCCACTATTTATTGGTTTACTCCCGATATCTTCCTCGAATCAATCCTGATTTGGGCCGGTAAAATACAAAATGTTCCTGATATCTAGTGGTTCAATCACTTATCCTCTGGTAATTTCACATGTAGAGCTATGGAAAATCACGATCTTTTAATCCGTAAAACATCTCCAAATGGGCAATTTTACCTTGCATGTTGTCGAAGCAGAGGGTAAATCCCACTGTTTCATGGTGAAAACTACTGAAAAAAAACCAATGTTCAACCACTTTCGTAGTCAAATCCCACTGTTCCTCGTGAAATCCCCGGATTTTTCCCAGGAAAACTTCGACTCTTCCCAGGAAAAATCCCAATTTTCCGAGTCCAACTTTGGGTGAAATCCTCCACTGCTGAACAGCTCCAACCCAGGAACCCCCACGCGGTGCGGGGCGAGGCCGGCGGCCTGACCATGGGAAAATCATCGACCTCAAAAAGTGAAAATTTCATGGTGATTTCACCAACAAAACTGGTGATTAGGGTGGCAAAAAAAACAGTACAAATGGTGATTTCACCCAGAAAAAATTGGGATTTCTGGTGATTTTTCAGCATCAAGAATTGGGATTCAACCATCAGAAATTAGGTTTCTCTTCAGGTCCAGATTCAGAACCCAAAGATGGGATGTTTTGCTAAGGCCAATGCATTTAAAAAATGACAACGCCCACAAGAAAAGAACCAGTGGATCACCCATGTTTGCTGCTTCCAAT